CCCCATGTATTTGCCATGAAGTAATGGGACAAGATGCCATGATCTTAGTTTTTTGAATGTTCAATTTTAAGCCAACTTTTTCCACTCTCCTCTTTCACTTTCATCAAGAGGCTCTTTAGTTCTTCTTCACTTTCTGCCATAAGGGTGGTGTCATCTGCATATATGAGGTTATTGATATTTCTCCTGGCAATCTGGATTCCAGCTTGTGCTTCCTCCAGCCCAGCGCTTCTCATGATGTACTCTGCATGTAAGTAAAATAAGCAGGGTGACAATATACAGCCTTGATGTACTCCTTTCCCTATTTAGAACCAGTCTTTTTTTCTGTGTCCAGTTCTAACTGTTGCTTCTTGATCTGCATACAGATTTCTCAAGAGGCAGGTCAGGTGGTCTGGTATTCCTATCTCTTTAAGAATTTTCCACAGTTTGTTATGATCCACACAGTGAAATGTTTTGGCATAGTCAATAAAGCAGAAATAAATATTTTTTCTGGAACTCTCTTGTTTTTTCTCTGCCTTTTCTAAATCCGGCTTGAACATCTGGAAATTCATGGTTCAAATACTGTTGAAGCCTGGTTTGGAGAATTTTGAGCATTAGTTTGCTAGCGTGTGAGATGAGTGCAATTGTGCTATAACTTCTGAGCATTCTTTGGCATTGCCTTTCTTTGGGATTGGAATGAAAACTGACCTTTTCTGGTCCTGCGGGAACTACTTTGTTTTCCAAACTTGCTGGCATATTGAATGCAGCACTATCACAGCATCATCTTTTAGGATTTGAAATAGCTCAACTTGCTGGAATTCCATCACCTCCACTAGCTTTTTTCATAGTGATGCTTCCTAAGCCCACTTAACTTCACATTCCAGGATGTCTGGTCTAGGTCAGTGATCACTGTGATTATGAGTTTTGAAGATCTTTTTGAATAGCTCTTCTGTGAATTCTTGCCACCTCTTCTTAACATTTTCTGCTTTCTTTATTTTACACCATTTCTTCCTTTTTTTGTGCGCATCTTTGCATGAAATGTTCCCTTGGTATCTCATTTTCTTGAAGAGATCTCTAGTCTTTCCCATTCTATTGTTTTCCTCTATTTCTTTGCATTGATCACTGAGGAAGCTTTCTTGTCTCTCCTAGCTATTCTTTGGACCTCTGCATTCAAATGAGTATATCTTTTCTTTTTTCTTTGCCTTTCACTTCTCCTCTTTTCACAGCTATTTGTAAGGCCTCTTCAGACAACATTTTTGCCTTTTTACGTTTCTTTTCCTTGGGGATGTTCTTGATCCTTGCCTCCTATACGATGCCACAAACCTCCGTCCATAGTTCTTCGGGTACTGTCAGATCTAATCGGATCTAATCCCTGATCTAAGATCTAATCTAATCTTAAATCTAATAGACTGAAGATCTAATCCCTTAAGTCGATTTCTCACTTCCACTGTGCAATCATAAGGAATTTGAATTAGGTCATACCTGAATGGTCTAATGGTTTTTCCTATTTTTTTTTTCAATTTAAGTCTGAAATAAATGAATAGAAGATGAATAAATGAATGAAGAAATGAATAAACTACATCAGAAGATCGATTTTTGACCCAATTGAATAAGTTTTGTGGAGATATTAGAGTGTATATTTCAAGAGGAAATACACGAGTGGTTACGTCTTTACTAAGCATCCTTGTTTTCATTAGAACTCAAGAAGATGTCAAATGTTAAGTAACTCGGTTTGGTGTTAAAGGTTCATTTAATTAAAAAGAGTGTGGGAAGGGCTCTTTCAATCCAGGAACTATGACAGCCAGTTCGCCATTTCTGCTTTGAGGAGATGGAGCCAAGTTTTTGAGGTAGGGGTTGCAGAGGTCTGATAATCAAAGCTGATGCTGAAATTGCAAAACAATCTATGACTATCATTCAAATTGGAATTTGCTGTTCATCAAGTACAAGAAAACTATGCTATGGTCACTAGTAAAAGAGAGTGAAAGCTATCCAAGTGTCACTAAAGGCAGTTTTGGGAATAGACAATGAAATAGATGATAATCCTGCCCCCTTTGTCAAATGTTAATGCAGCAGTATTTTAAAAAACAAACAAAAAATGGTCATTCAGTGGCACACCCATCTCAAGGACAATCCTCATCATCCTGAGGACAATGAGAACAAAGAAAAATGAACAGATGATATCTCTGAATAACTGAACAACTTCCTGAAAGTTGACCAAGGAGCATGATTTGATCTTACATTGGCAGCAAACTACTTAGAAATCAAAGATTTCCTTGATGTTACCTGCAAGGCTGTTGTCAATATGATCAAGGGGAAAACTGAAGAGATTTGAAAGACAGTGAATATCAAAAGTGATTTTACTGAAGAAGGGGAAACCCAGGTATGCAAAGTGAACCAGCCATGCAAAGAGAAGTGAAATTGTGTGCCAAATACTAGTTGCACTGTTTTGTTTATAATTGTAATATTAGAGATACAGACAATAAATGCAGCAGTGAATCAACTGTATTAGCAGAATTTTGTCCTCATTGAATGTGTAGTTTGAGTAGAGATTCCAAACTTATGGCTCAGTTTCTTCTAGTATGATCAAAAGTTTCCTTTTTCTTTGCTCTGAATAAAATTGAACTGTTGGTTCTCTATAGAAAAAATTTTAAAAATATAAAAGGATCTTCTCCTAGATTCTAATTATTGGATTTTACAGAGAGTAAGTAAGTAATAAGTAAATTATTTAATTTAATTTTAAGTGATGCATTAAGCATTGGTCAAAAGTTACTGTGGCAAAGACAAATAATATTTTCAAATACAAATGAGCACTTTAAAAATAAAAACAAAGAGCCAAGTAAAAAGCAATATCTTGAAAACACAGCATAGAGAAAATAGCACTGATCTGTGATTCATGTGAGATGAAAGCTCTGTGGCTCTGGAATTTTGGTTGTCACCTAACCTGAAACTTGTTACTAAAGATGAGTTTCAAACAATTAGGAAGATTTTAAAAAAAGCTTATAGGAAATTAAAAAAAATAATTAGGAAGACAACATGAGCCAGGTACTGTGTAATTTGGTACAAACTATAAACCTTGTATTACAGCTGGACAAATAACTGAAATTTGGTGTTCTGCTACTTTTACTCAATTAGCAAATGATTTTATTTGAATGTCACTGAGTAATTTTGATCTTTTCTGAATTTAATTTACTTCTTTAAAAACATAAAATCATAGTGGGGTATTATGAAAAACCATTGTCTGAAAAGGAGGGATATATGTACTAGTCATGTGAATTATTCTCAAAATTTTTTTAAAAAGTGAAGTATGAAAACAAATATAAACAGGTGCCTGAGACTACTGTTCCCCTATCAGTTCTTCAGTGAGGAAATAGGATTCTATGTTTTCAGAATGAAGTTCATTCTGAACTTCTTAAGTTTCAGGCCATTAAAATTAGGTTATGAATGGTAAAGTAAGAGGAATTCAGTAAAATTTTGGAATCTACTAAGTTGCCATTCCAATCTCTATATACATAAATATAGCTCCTAATTTGAGATGTAAATATGGATCTTTTTGACTAGGAAATTAAGATCTAAACCAAAAATCAAAGCATAAGAAAAGGAATGTACAATACTATCCTGAAAGTCTGAAATACTCCTACAAAAACTAATCTTCATTCATTCAAATTTAATCTTCACTGACCTTGTGATTCAGTCCTTCCACTTCTAGAGTTGTGTGATATCTATTATATCCTAGAGAGGGATCCAAATTTAAGATAAATATACAAGGCAGGACCCTCCAGCCTCCTGCACAGGTGCCCTGGGACCCAGCACCTCCCATCAGTGGGCCCACACCAGACCCAGGACCCTGCAGACCCTGCAGTCCACAACAAGGGTACCCATTGAGCCCACAGCTCTGGAGTATGGAGAGGAGTGTGCTACTGGGTTCCATAGAAAGTGCGCTATAAAATGAAATCAACCCACCTGAAGTGTGCTGCATGCTAAGTCATGTCCGACTCTTTGCAAACTTATGGACTGTAGCCCGCCAGGCTCCTGTCCATGGGATTCTCCAGGCAAGAATACTGGAGTGGGTTGTCATGCCCTCCTCCAGGGGATCTTCCCGACCCAGGGACTGAACTTGCATCTCTTACATCTCCTGCATTGGCAGGCGGGTTCTTTACCACTAGCGCCACCTGGGAAGCCCCCAACCCATGTAATACATAGAAAGGTAAATAAAGAATCAGGCAAAATGAGGCAAAGAAGGAATATGTTCCCCAGAAGAAAAAGGAAACAAAATGGAGATAAGCAATCTACTTATAAAGAGTTCGAGGTATTAATACTAATATTAATACTAATATTGTGTGTGTTAGTCACTCAGTTGTCCCTGACTCTTTGCCATACCATCTACTGTAACCCACCAGGCTCTTCTGTCCATGGAATTATCCAGACAAGAATACTGCAGTGGGTTGCCGTGTTCTACTCTAGGGCACCTACCTCACCCAGGGATCAAACCTGGGTCTCCTGCATTGCAGGTGGATTCCTTACCATCTTAGCCACCAGAGAAGCCCCGATACTAATGTTAATTTTAATTTAAATTTTTACACTTAACTTTAAGTGTGTGGGGAAGCTGTCAAGTTACAGAGGCAGATTAATGTTTCTAAAACCCAAAGTTTTAGTTGAAAAATTTTGAGTCTTGTCCTTAGCAACAGATTTGGCCAGTTATTTTCCTTGAAATCACATGCTCACTTCATTCATTTTTGATGTCTTCCAAATACCCAACTCTTAATCAACATCATTTGTCTCAATCATTATTTTAAGTAAAAATGGTGTTCCATGTCAAAAGTGGCTAGTTCAGTTCACAAATCAACCAATTGCAGAAGTGCTTTACTGTGTCCTCTGGTATGCAAGTGCTTTAAATATCCTCTCCAAGGATCATGCAGAATATTAAGAAGATATGTACCCAGAAATTGAGGCTTAATAAAATTATTGATTTTCACTGCTTCATCAAAGACAAGAAAAAGAGAAATATATAAAAAAAAGAGCAGTACCTTTTCCAAATACCTTGGCACATTGGTTGTCAGTAGTTTGGCATCGTCCATTGTAGCAATATGCAGTCCCCGACCTGCACAGCTGGCCATTCATGGCATATGTGTCAGGAACGCAATTACTCGAAGTCCCATTGCAATACTCTGTAAAATCACACTCTGGATCCACACTCTTTCTACAGGGAGTGCCTGCTACTGATATCTAGGAGGAAAATGAAAATCATGTTCCATGGGTCACTATTCTCAATCTCTTACTGAAGAGAAAATGAGATGTGACTGATTACAGCGAGTCCCCTACATATCAACGCATTCTACTCCATTTGGAAACCCGATTTGTTCACAAATCCAACAAAGTTAGCCTAGGTACTTAACTAACACAATTGGCTGTATGGCACCATACTGTAACAGATTTATTGTCCTTTTCACATAAACAATACATAAAAAAGCAATAAACATTTTAAAGCTTATAATGTCTTGGAAAGTAGAGTAGTACAGCACAACAGCTGGTATCCAGGGGCTGGCATCAAGTGAACAGGCAAGAATTACTGCCTGGAGGAGGGAGACCAGCTGAGAGATGGTAGAGCTGAAGGATCATCAGGAATGAGATGGAGGGTGATGTTTCAATCACACTTGATATTAGTAGCACGGGTTCTGGTTCCTTGGGGAAGCAAATGCACATTTGTCATGTTTGACAGTTTGCAAATTGAAGGTTCACACATAGGGAACTTACCAGATTGATACTAGAGAGGATTACAGAGCCCTACTGCTGAGTTCTCCAAAGAAAAAGGCAAGCAGAGTATTCATGATGAAGCCTGAGGAAAAGTAACTGTCTCAAAGGCTAAAAGGATCCTCAACCAGAGTTTTATGTTTTACATCAAAAGACCACCAGACTAACCAGCCTTTGGATGGAGACAGAAGAAACATACTTGCTCCTCAAAATTGGAGAAACATTGCCTCTACCATTTTCTTCTTGGAGATAGATACCAAGGAGACAAACTCCCTGGTTTCATATATGCCACTACATTTAAAATAGATAACCAACAAAGACCTACTGTATGGCACAGGGAACTCTCCTCAACATTCTGTAATAACCTGAATGGGAAAATAATTATGCATATATAATTTGTATAACTGAATCCCTTAGCTGTACCCCCAAAACGAATACAACATCGTAAATCAACTGTAGTCTGATATAAAAGAAATTTTAAAAAAAGCTTCCTGGTTTTAATATCTTACTAACTTATTTGTGTGAATGAGACACATAATTCCTCATTTGTAAACTTGGGATAATAATCATTCTCTTGTAAGGTTCTTGTAAGTATTAAACTGAATTAATGTAACAAGTGCTTTGAACAACATACGGTAAACAATATATGGAGTACCTATTATCATTGTTGTCATCATCACCATTACATTTATCATTTGCGAGCTAAAAGTCCTCTTTGTAGAGCTCAGATAAAGAGTACATTTGTGATCACATCTTTATTCCCTGTTGACTTAATCAGGTATCGTTGCTTTCTATGATGAAGTTCACCATGGCCAGACATTCTATGTATGTTAAAGTGACACACACACTCTACAATCTAGTTTCATTGACTTAATATTTAACAGACTGAGACAAAGATGAGCAATAAATGAATGAAATGGCATCTTATAAAGAACTGTATGAAAAAGAAACTTTCAACCTAGAATTCCATTTTTAGGAAATATATATTTCAATAATGACTGTGAAATAAAGACTTGTCCAGAAAATAATAATTAACAGAATTGATTTCAGCAGATAGAAATTACAAGGAATAGTAAAGGGAAGTCTTCAGATATAAGGAGTATGATAGTGAGCAGAAATTTACAGAAGGAAATAAAGAGACTCAGAAATGGAATAAAAGATGTTAATTGCAAAATTGTTTTCCTCATCTTACTTGCTCTAAAAAATAAGACTATATAAAGCAAAACAAGTAACAAAATATTTTGTGTTTATAATATGTGAGAAATGTTCTTTTATATAAGGTCCATCTCTATACATGAAGTGGTGTATTATATGAAATGAAACTCTGATTGATCAACGATCTGTAAACTCGGAGAAACTATTAATAGTAAAATGATTTTTTAAGGTTAAATAATAAACCAGTAGCAATGAAAAAATCAAACCATGTTGTACAGTTTTAGAGTCTATATTTAGTTTGCAGATCAATTGCAAGGCTCATAAATAACAACTGGGAATTCAAAATAGTATAGCTAGTTTGGAATATATGTTTACAGTTTCCTATAAAACTCCATATACACTTACTCTATGAACCAGAAATTTAATTTATAGTTATCTAAGTGAAAAAAATCCTAATATTCATGCAAAATCTGCTTATGAATATTTTTATAGCAGCTGTATTTTCACCACCCCAAATAGAAAATGAACCAAATGGTCCTCAACTGGGAATTGTATAAATAAACAGTGGTACATCCTAGTATTGCTTGCAATACTATTCAACAATAAAAAAGGAATGACTTACTGATAAACACAACATAAATGAAGCTCAAATGCATAATGCTAAGAACTGTGGTGTTGGAGAAGACTTTTGAGAGTCCCTTGGACTGCAAGTATATCAAACCAGTCAATCCTAAAGAAAATCAATCCTGAATAGTCATTGGGAGGACTGGTGCCGAAACTGAAGATCCAATACTTTAGCCACCTGATGTGAAGAACTGATTCCTTACAAAAGACCCTGATGCTGCGAAAGGTTATAGGCAGGAGGAGAAGGGGACAACAAAGGATGAGATGGTTGGACGGCATCACCGACTCAATGGACATGAGTTCGAGCAAGCTCTGGGAGCTGGTGATGGACAGGGAGGCCTGGCATGCTGCAGCTCATGGGATTGCAAAGAGTCAGTTATCCTGTAATTAATACTTTTTTTTTTTCCTGAGCTTTCCACACATGATCATGTTTCTAGGGTATATACATAAGACATAAACTCATAATGATCAATTAACTTAATAATTTATACTCTATTCAAAATATGCAAAAATTGCTCAGGAAAGGGATTAAAGTAATTCAAATTTCCAAAACCACTCTGCAAAACATATCTTTAGTCCCATTCCTTAGATAATATCTGGCATTGCTTTTAAAATTGCTATTGGATAACTGCTCTATAGTATTGTGTTATCATTTTATTTGTGTTTATCCTAATTGCTGCAGATGATCAGTGCACACACTGAACGATCATACTTTTCATTGCTGTAAATTGCTTGGGTACTCCATTTGCCACTGTGTGTGTGTTTGTGTGTGTGGTGTGTGACCCAAGTTTGATTTATTAATTGTGAGGATTCTTTGTATTTTCGCTACCCTACACATTTGGACTTCCCTTGTGGCTAAGCTGGTAAAGAATCCACCTGCAGTGTGGGAGACCTGGATTCGATCCCTGGGTTGGGAAGATCTCTTGTAGACGGGAAAAGTTACCCACCCAGTCCTGTATTCTGGCCTGGAGAATTCCATGGAATATATAGGGCCTGATACACACAAGGTTCAGTATTCTTGCCTCAAGAACTCCATGAACAGTATGAAAAGGCAAAAAGATAGGACACTGAAAGATGAACTCCATAGGTAGGTAGGTGCTAAATATGCTACTGGAGAACAGTAGAGAAATAACTCCAGAAAGAAGAAGAGAAGGAGCCAAGCAAAAACAACACCCAGTTGTGGATGTGACTGGTGATGGAAGTAAAGTCCGATGCTGTAAAGAGCAATATTGCATAGGCACCTGGAATGTTAGGTCCATGAATCAAGGTAAATTGAAAGTGGTCAAACAGGAGATGGCAAGAGTGTACATGGATATTTTAGGAATCAGCAAACTAAAATAAACTAGAATGGGTGAATTTAACTCAGATGACCTATCTATTACTGTGGGCAAAAATCCCTTAGAAGAAATGGAGTAGCCATGATAGTCAACAAAAGAATCCGAAATGCAGTATTTGGATGCTATCTGAAAAACTACAGAATGATCTCTGCTCATTTCCGAGGCAAACCATTCAATATTACAGTAATCCAAGTCTATGCCCTGACCAGTAATGCTGAAGAAGCTGAAGTTGAATGGATTTATGAAGACCTACAAGACCTTCTAGAACTAACACCCAAAAAAGATATCCTTTTCACTATAAGAGACTGGAATGCAAAAGTAGGAAGTCAAAAATACCTGGAGTAGAAGGCAAATTTGGCCTTGGAGTACAGAATGAAGCAGGGAAAAGGCTAATAAGAGTTTTGCCAAGAGAATGCACTGGTCATAGCAAAAACTCTCTTCCAACAACACAAGAGAATACTTTACACATGGGTGTCACTAGATGGTCAATACCGAAATCAGATTGATTATATTCTATGCAGCCAAAGATGTAGAAGATCTATACAGTCAGCAAAAACAAGACCAGGAGCTGACTGTGGCACAGACCATGAACTCCTTATTGCCAAATTCAGACTTAAATTGAAGAAAGTAGGGAAAACCACTAGACCATTCAGGTGTGATCTAAATCAAATTCCATATGATTACACAGTGGAAGTGACAAATAGGTTCAAGAGATTAGATATGTTAGACAGAGTGCCTGAAGATATTTGAATGGAGGTTTGTGACACTGTACAGAAGGCAGGGATCAAGACCATCCCCAAGGAAAAGAAATGCAAAAAGGCAAAATGGTTGTCTGAGGACGCCTTACAAATAGCTGTGGATAGAAGAGAAGTGAAAGGCAAAGTAGAAAAAGAAAGATATACCCATTTGAATGCAAAGTTCCAAAGAATAGCTAGGAAAGATAAGAAAGCCTTCCTCAGTGATCAATGCAAAGAAATAGAAGTAAACAAGAGAATGGGAAAGACTAGAGACCTCTTCAAGAAGATTAGAGATACCAAGGGAACATTTCATTCAAAGATGGGCACAAAAAAGGACAGAAATGTTATGGACCTAACATAAGCAGAAGATATTAAGAAGAGGTGGCAAGAATACACAGAAGAACTATACAAAAAATTTCTTCATGACCTAGATAATCACAATGGTGTGACCACTCACCTAGAGCCAGACATCCTAGAATGTGAAGTCAAGTGGGCCTTAGGAAGCATCACTATGAACAAAGCTAGTAGAGGTGATGGAATTCCAGTTGAGTTATTTCAAATCCTGATAGATGATGTTGTGAAAGTGCTGCACTCAATATGCCAGCAAATTTGGAAAACTCAGCAGTGGCCACAGCATTGGAAAAGGTCACTTTTCATTCCAACCCCAAAGAAAGGAAATGCCAAAGAATGCTCAAACAACCACACTATTGCACTCATCTCACATGCTAGCAAACTAATGCTCAAAGTTCTCCAAGCTAGGCTTCAACAGTTCATGAACTGTGAGCTTCCAGATGTCAAGCTGGATTTAGAAAAGGTAGAGGAACCAGAGATCAAGTTCTAACATTCATTGAATCATGAAAAAAGCAAAAGAGTTTCAGAAAAACACCTACTTCTGCTTTATTCACTATGCTAAAGCCCTTTGACTGTGTGGACCACAATAAACTGGAAAATTCTTAAAGAGATGGGAATACCTGACTACCTGACCTGCCTATTGAGAAATCTGTATGCAGGTCAGGAAGCAACAGTTAGAACTGGACATGGAACAACAGACTCTTTCCAAATCAGGAAAGGAGTACATCAAGGCTGTATAATGTCACCCTGCTTATTTTACTTATATGCAGAGTACATCATGAGAAACTCTGGGCTGGAGGAAGCACAAGGTGGAATAAAGGTTGCTGGGAGAAACATCAATAACCTCAGATATGCAGATAACACCACCCTTATGGCAGAAAGTGAAGAAGAACTAAAGAACCTCTTGATGAAAGTGAAAGAGGAGAGTGAAAAAGTTGGCTTAAAAGTGAACATTTCAGAAAACTAAGATCGTGGCATCTGGTCCCATCACTTCATGGCAAATAGATGGGGAAACAGTGGAAACAGAGACAGACTTTATTTTTGGTGGCTCAAAAATCACTGCAGTGGTGACTGAAGCCATGAATTAAGACACTTGATCCTAGGAAGGAAAGTTACGACCAACCTAGACAGCATATTCAAAAGCAGAGACATTAATTTGCTGATAAATGTCCATCTAGTCAAAGCTATGTTTTTTCTAGTAGTCATGCATGGATGTGAGAGTTGGACTATAAACAAAGCTGAGCACCGAAAAATTGATGCTTTTGAACTGTGGTGTTGGAGAAGACTCTTGAGAGTGTCTTGGACTGCAAGGAGATCCAACCAGTCCATCCTAAAGGAAATCAGTTCTGACTATGCATTGGAAGGACTGATGCTGAAGCTGAAACTCCAATGCTCTGGCCATGTGGTTCGACTCATCTGAAAAGACCCTGATGCTGGGAAAGATTGAAGGCGGGAGGAGATGGGGAGGACAGACGATACGATGGTTGGATGGCATCACTAACTCAATGGACATGAGTTTGACTCAGTTCCGGGAGTTGGTGATGGACAGGGAGGCCTGGCGTGCTGCAGTCCATGGGGTTGCAAAGAGTTGGACATGACTTAGTGACTGACCCAGACTGAACTGAACTGAACTGATACGGGGACTATACAGGGTTGCAAAGAGTTTGACACAGCTCAGCGATGTTCACTTTCACACATTTTGTTTCACATTTTGTCTGCTATGCCTGTTATATATTTTCCCTTAGTCATTTGACTTTACAATTGCTTTGAGAGCTGATTTTTTTTTTGTATAGGAGTGTATATGTTTATTCTACTCTTTATCAGATAAATTAGAAGATGGCAAACTGAGGTTTCAACATAATGGAAGAATCAGTACTAACCTTAGATGTGTTCTTTATCTCATCATATTTGTCCTTAATGTCCGTGGTTGCTTATGCACTCTCTGCTTTGTTCCACTGAATTTTTTCCGAAGTCTGTCAATTCTGCATTAATTCAATTCATATAGCATTCTATTATCACAGTTCAATCATCAACATAAACATTGGAAACTCACCTCACATTTTGACGTACAGCATGATCCAGAAGCACACTTTACTAGGCCTTTCAGTTTACATATATTATAATCACAGCAATCCTTAAACTGACATTCCTGAAATTTCATAAGAAGAAATACCATTTTAGCTCCACCACTTAATAGGTCTTGTTTCTCAGCTTCTACTTAGTACTCTATTGTATTCAACTTTTCAACTATGTAATATACTTATGTTTAGTGAAGCTTTATTATTTTACTATTTCTAGAATTCTGAAAGGCACATGCAACTATAAGAACTAAAGCAAGAATATCTAAAATAACAGTTGGTCATTTGCATTCAATATTTAAAATATGTGGTAATTAATTAATAAATTGGAATTATAACATGGAAATTATAATTAATTCAGATATAACCTGGACACAAATATAACATGAAAATGGAAATGTAACATTTGAATTTCCAAAAGAAAACTTCCCAGCTATCTTTTTAGTGACTTGTTTACTAAAATTTTCCTTTATGAATAAAGCTAAAGAAAAGTTAGGCTATATATATATATAACAAAAATCTATTCAATATAGGAGTCATGTGCCACATTTTACTATAATGGAAATACATTGGAAAAAAGGATATTTTGACATATATATTTTTACAAGGTAAATGGCAGTCAACTGTTACTCAAATTAGATGATAATTTTAAATAATGTTAACCAAATATTTTTCAATTAAATACATTGCATTTATATAATTTATATATTCTTTAGTGTTTTTAAATTCTTACAAACTTGTAAAATTAAGTGTCTTTCATTTACTCAAAAATCAAGTTTTAAAGATTTTGTCCTTAAGATTCTTCATTTAAAATTTTTCAAATGTTTCTAATTTTTCTTATGTTTATGTGAATAGATATGTGTTTGTAAATATTCCCATCATAGAAATAATATAGAAAACATGGAGTAAACTCTGAAGTTGTGATCATACTCTGCAGTTTCCTGAGGTTCTCACTGGTTATCTTATCCTTAAAAAATGAGTTAGAGCACATAACTTTTTTGTGTACTCTATTTCAGTGTTTAATGTTCCAAAGTTCAATATCATTACATGAGTGTATGTGCATGTATATATCCTTTCACGAAGAGGAAATAAGGATGAGTGACCAAACAATGTTTGTCAAAACTAATTATGAGAAATCAGTTTAATTTATAACAAGGTAACTTGCTAATGGTGTCTTATTTTTATTATTAGTTCTCTGATTACTAGCATTTTTGAAAATGATTTTGCAGTTTGTAAAATTTTGTTTATTAATAATCATTTCTTCTCACAATTTTCACCATTTTGCATAAGGATTTTTGTTTATTCATTTTCCTTTTCCCCCTTTAAATAGGAGTGGCTTTTAAAAAATCTCTGACTACCTTTTTTCTCCTATGTTAATAACTTTTCCTTAAACTCTATTGTTTGTCTTATTAATGGTGCCTGTCATTTCTTGTAATTTGCAACTTTCTTCTTCCTTTATGACTATTGCATTTTATATCTCATTACCAAGACCTCCAATATGCCAAGAATATATTATCAATATTTTACTCATATTTTATTGCTTTTTAAAACTTACAGACTTTTTTTACAGAAATGTACACCTCCATATTTTGTGGAATATTTACTCTAGCATTTATTACTCATAACTGTATTTGTGAATACAAGAATAAATAAATGCACACACCTGCATGTGTGTGTCAGTGCAAAAACAGAGCTTACACTTGTATAAAACGGGCGATATTCACAAAAATATAGGTGCCAATGCCATTCTCCCAAAATTGACCTGGGGCACATCTGAACTGAACAAGCTAGGTTTATTAATAGTTTCTGCAAAGGAAAACAAATGCCATGGGGAACTGTATACACCTCCATGAGAGTATGTAATTAGAGGATTGAGGCTTAGGTAATTTGGGGAGGGTTTAAAGAGTCTGGACTTTGCAAGACTAGATGCTGCCAGAAACCAGGATTTCATCTATGATTGGGTATTTTAATAATTCTTATCTAGAAGAAGAAAGGGGCTTCCCAGGGGGCACAGGGGTAAGGAATCTTCCTGTCAAATGCAGGAGACACAGGTTGATCCTTGGGTCAATAAGATCCCCTGGAGTAGGAAATGGCAACCCATTCCAGTATCCTTGCCTGATAAATTTCATGGACAGAGGAGCCTGGCAGGCTACAGTCCATGTGGTCATAAAAAGCCAGATACAACCAAGACAATGGGCACACACAAACACAAGAATAAAGACAGTATTAACGCCAGGGTTGAAACTGGTAAAGAAGCAGGAAATACTCATTGGCCAGGAAAAGGGGGTGTTTGGTCACTATTGTAACTTGGACAATATCCAGGTTTTACCCTTCTCAGAAATAAAGTGGAGGGCCTTGCTTAAAGAGTGGCTTGATTCTTTTTCCTTCATCCATTTTGATTACAGATGTTTCATTTCTTAAGCCAATGGCCCAATATCACAGTGAGCCAAATTTAACAGCCTCGTAGTATGGCTTGATATTTTGTAAGGCAAGATTACCCCAAAATGGACTCATTTTCTAAAATGTTCCTTTGTAGTTGTCATTCATATGAAAAATCTGAGAGAAAACACACGACAGACATAGCAAAACTGAAACACACAGCTAGGGGTGGTTGTTTAGTCACTAAGTTGTATCCAACTCTTTTGTCACCCCATGGACTCTCACCGCTTTAGGTTTCTCTGTCCATGGGATTTCCCAGGCAAGAATACTCAAATGGGTTTCCATTTTCTTCTCCAGGGGACCTTCCCAACCCAGGGATCAAAGTCACCTCTCCTTCATGGGCAGGCAGATTCTTTACCACTGAGCCACCAGGGAAGCCCACCGCTAGTGGTTCAGTTCAGTTCAGTCGCTCAGTCGTGTCCGACTCTTTGCGACCCCATGAATCGCAGCACGCCAGGCCTCCCTGTCCATCACTAACTCCCGGAGTATACTCAAACTCATCCCCATTGAGTCAGTGATGCCATCCAGCCATCTCATCCTCTGTTGTCCCCTTTTCCTCCTGCCCCCAATCTCTCCCAGCATCAGGGTCTTTTCCAACGAGTCAACTCTTCACATCAGGTGGCCAAAGGATTGGAGTTTCAGCTTCAACATCAGTCCTTCCAATGAACACCCAGGACTGATCTCCTTTAGGATGGACTGGTTGGATCTCCTTGCAGTCCAAGGGACTCTCAAGAGTTGCAATCACCATCTGCAGTGATTTTGGAGCCCAAAAAATAAAGTCTGACACTGTTTCCTTACCAGGTAGCAAAGGGAGGAGAGGTAAGGGTAAGATAAGGGCATTAAGAGATACACACTACTATGTATAAAATAAACAAACAACAAGGATATATTATATAGCACAGAGAAATATAACCATTATTTTTAAATAACTTTAATGGAGTACAGTCTATAAAAATGTTTAAAACATCAAAAGTCCCTTTATATTCTTCCCTACTTCTCTTTAAGAAAAACTTTGGAATAAACCTTCCAAGTAACACTGTTCCTAATGGGGTATTTCAAATGTATCAAAGAGTCACTCCTCACCCATTTGCACACATCCTATGTTATTATAATGAGAATTACATTATCCATGCATTCATTCAATCAACAATGTTTGTTGAGCCTGGAATATATATCAGATACTATTCTGTGTGCTGGTGATGCATCAATAATCAAGCTATGAACCATCTATTTCCTCTAATGTTGTTTTGTTGTTCTTTTGCCATTATCACCTTTTATGTATGTGTGTATGTATATTTAATGTCCTATGGCCATTGTTCCAAAACATTAAAATAGATTCATGCACTTGGTTAACTTATATTTCTAGATAAAATTTAGGGTCTGATTTTGCAGGAGAGTAACTTTCAGGTTAAAAGGGGTATGTTGATTTGGATTTAATAAAGAATAAATTGAATGCAATTTGACTTTAAAAGAAACAGCTATCTATTTATTGCAATTTCTGTGTGTCACTCAGTTTTGTTAAATCATTTATACTTTTAATGTACTGGAAAGAACTCATTAACTTTACACCTATTTGTTACATAGGGTTTTTTTTTTTTTGTTTTTGTTTTTTTTTAAGAGTGTAGTAAACATGCCTTTGTTATTTCATTCTTTAATTATTTATTGACTTTTAAAAAATAAAGACTATTACTCTTTGTCTAAGGTATTTCACTATTGTACTCTAATAGCAATAACACTTTTCTTTTTTAGTATCAAATATAATGGATCTGCTCCTAATGAGTCACTTTATATATTAAATTTTTTATAAATTACTGCTAGAAAGTTTCTTAAAACTGATACTAAATTTTATTCTGAAGTACATTTTTGAAGAAGGAGTATTTAGTGTTAAAGATTCTTCCTCAATTAGTTGTGATATGTTTTTATTTCTTTGTTTAGTATAACAATCACATGGATAAATTTAGTTTACCTTCTTCCAAATAAACCTCAATTGGGCAGACTTTTCTTTTGATTGTGTATGCAAGTTGTGCTTAGTCATTTAGTCATGTCTGACTCTCTGACCTCATGGATTCTAGCCTACCAGGGTCCTCTGTCCATGGGGATTCTCTAGGCAATAATACTAGTGTGGGTTGCCATGCCCTCCTCCAGGGGATCTTCCCAACCCAGGGATCGAACCCAGGTCTCCTGCATTGCAGGCGGATTCTTTACCATGGATTTACTTGTCAATATTTATCATAGAAAACTCGCATCTAGGTTTGTTATGCTAGACTATAGTGTGTGTTTGTGTGTGTGACTTCATAATACTGAATTTTTCTTTACTATTAAAATTAGTTAAATTTTTTATGTTTATTATCTGCCAACTAGTTCAAACTATAAGCTTTCCAAATGCAGATGGCAGATCTTGGGAGATCTCTAAAATATTTTTAATGGTGTCTATTAGGTCAACAAATTCTTAATAATAATAATTAGACTTTATTTGTCTTTTATATAGTGTTGATATTTGCATTGATCGGGTAAAAGCAATTGTATATAAAGTACTGGAGGTCTAGTTTAAATCAAAGCTTCTGGTCATTGTATTATTCACCATCATGTGCTCAACAGCTTCATTTAAGGAGGTCTTTGGTAAAGAAGTAGA